GTGTGGTGAGTGTGGTGAGTGTGGTGAGTGTGGTGAGTATGGCGAGTGTGGTGAGTGTGGCGAGTGTGGTGAGTGTGGTGAGTGTGGTGAGTGTGGTGAGTGTGGTGAGTATGGTGAGTGTGGTGAGTGTGGTGACTTTGGTGAATATGCAGGCCAGGATGCAATATACCTATTGTCTACATTTAAAAAAATGTATGGGTAACATTGAACCAATTGTTACACTCATCCTGCATCAAGGAGCGATTGCACAATGTCTAAATCGAGGAACAGGGATTTTTTTTTGTTCCCTTAGATGAACCAGTTTATCCTGGTCCAATTTTGGTGGCCCCTGTTGATGGTATGTAGGTTGCCAATACTCAGACAAATGTCTGAGACATTGTCCAGATAGTGATACTCTTGTTCTTTTGTGTGGGTCACCTGACCCATGTTTGCACCTGCAGAAAAGCGTGTCAGTGCTACGTGCAGCAAGTGTGTTTCTTACCACGATTTTATTCAACTTCTTGTTTGTTTGTTTGTTTGCTACAAATCTTATAATCGATATTTAACACACTTCTACCTCTCCAATCGATCTAAAATTTTGCACACTTGCGTAAAGTTGGAGACAATGCATGAATCAATTGACAGAATAATTAATTTTATAAATTAGAATTTTTATTGAAAAATTAAAAAATAATTTTGTCTGCTATAAATCTTATAATTGATATTTAATGCACTTCTATCTGTCCAAACGATCGGAAGTTTTGCACACTTGCGTAAAGTTAGAGACAATGTATGAATCAATGCACAAAATCACAATATAAATTAAATTTTTTAAAATAAAATAAAAAATTCGTTGTACATGTGCAACATCGGAGACACCGGCCTCTTTAGAAGTGTGGTATTTACATAATACTTTTTAACGCATATTATTTTCAGACACAATGACCAATTTATTTTCCTTGAAGATTGTTTTTATGGTTATTAATAACAGACTTTATAGCCTGCAATATGACGCACTCTAGGCATGCTATCCTTATCCCATGATGCCTAAAACTCTGGGCATGTATATCCTTATCCCATGATGCCTAAAACTCTGGGCATGCATATCTTATCCCATGATGCCTAAAACTCTAGGCATGCATATCTTATCCCATGATGCCCAGAACTCTGGGCATGCATATCTTATCCCATGATGCCTGAAACTCTAGGCATGCATATCCTTATCCCATGATGCCTAAAACTCTGGGCATGCATATCCTTATCCCATGACACCTAAAACTCTGGGCATGCATATCCTTATCCAATGATGCCTAGAACGAAGGGCCGATTATTTACAGAACTGGATTTACATACATGATTTCCACTATTTAATTGTCTTCCATCTCCCGTGACTGTCGGCGAGCGGTCGGAGTCCTCGTGAGATCTTGAATGGTGTTGACATGATTTTCCGCGTTTCTGCGGAAGTGTATGCATTGTATACTGCAGTGTGTGCATTGTATACTGTAGTGTATGCAGTGTATACTGCAGTGCATGCATTGTATACTGCAGTGTATGCATTGTATACTGCAGTGTATGCATTTTATACTGCAGTGCATTGTATACTGCAGTGTATGCCAGTATACAGTCCACACTGATCTACACATAGTATATACAGGCCAGCTTTTTGCATATAATGTGTGATTTCTGTGTGGTGTATGCGGCGGCAGGGCTGTTATCAGCAGAGTTGTTATCAGCAGCATCACGGTTGCCGTGACCCTGATAACAGAGATAACAGAGATAAGATAACAGTGATAACAGAGATAACAGGGTTAACAGAGATAAGATAACAGAGATAGCAGAGATAAGATAACATAGATAACAGAGACAACAGAGATCAGATAACAGAGATAACAGAGATAAGATAGACAACAGAGTTAAGAGAGACAACAGAGATAACAGAGATAAGATAACAGAGATAACAGAGATAAAATAACAAAGATAACAGAGATAAGATAACAGAGATAACAGAGACAACAGAGATAACAGAGATAAGATAACAAAGATAACAGAGATAAGATAACAGAGATAAAATAACAGAGATAACAGAGATAAGATAACAGAGATAAGATAACAGAGATAACAGAGATAAGATAACAGAGATAACAGAGATAAGATACCAGAGATAAGATAACAGAGATAAGATAACAGAGACAACAGAGATAACAGAGATAAGATAACAGAGACAACAGAGATAACAGAGATAAGATAACAGAGATAAGATAATAGAGATAAGATAACAGAGACAACAGAGATAAGATAACAGAGACAACAGAGATAAGATAACAGAGATAACAGAGATTAGATAACAGAGATAAAATAACAGAGATAACAGAGATAAGATAACAGAGATAACAGAGATAAGATAACAGAGATAACAGAAATAACAAAGATAACAGAGACAACAGAGACAACAGAGATAACAGAGATAAGATAATAGAGATAACAGGGATAACAAGGATAACAGTTTCTCACCCACCCGTGTATGTTGACGACATGTTTGTGCACGTTTGGCAGCGTGTGTGCGTGTGTTTGTGTGTGCGCATTTACACGGGTAGACTTCTTTATATTTAACTTAATTATTGTTATTATTCATCTATATTTATTTATTATTTATTTATTGACATTTATTTATTACTTATTTATCATATATTTATTTATTTTATTTACCTTCATCACCCTCATTTATTTATTATGCATTTACTTACATTTATTTATTATTTATTTATTTTATTTACCTTAATTTTTTTAATTATTTATTTATTTACCCTTACCTTAATTATTATTATTTACTTCTATATTTACATTATATTTAAACGTTTTGGCCCCGCATGAGAACGTATCACTGTTAGGTGCAGAGAACTAGTCACTATTTAGGTAATATGATCTAACCTAACCTAATGTAACCCATTAGTTTTCTCAGTGTAAGTATAGGACAAAAGAAAAACGAAACTAAACATATAGCACTAAATAAACTTGTTATTATAGATAGCACTAAATAAACTTATTATTAATATATATAGCACTAAATAAACCTATTATTACTATTTCATGCCAATCAATATAGAATAGAATAGAAGTGTCGGCACTGAAGAAACAGGCCCATGTATATGCATATAAAAACATTATAAGCTTCAGCCAACATCAATGAACTATTGGAAAGGAAATAAACTATAAATTAAAGTCAAACGAAGAGAGTTTTACTGTATATTGTGTAATGCATAATGCATATTGTACCTTGTATATTGTGTAACATTTGTACTGCATGCATTCACACACGATCACTGATGATGAGCACGTCAGACGAAGTGTTATCATTTATTATAATTATGGTTAACTTCAAGCGCCAAATATTAATAAACATTTCAATGATGCATATATCATTTTGTTTACAATAAAGTTTGTTCATTTTTTCCCATCCTGGATCATACAAACAATAACTAGTAATCAACCAGGAATTAAAAAGCCAAGAAAAGTAAAAAAAATTACAATTGTGCTCCGGTATATTCATCTTATATAATTCGGAGACCGAATACGAGTACAATAAAAGTAGAAAAAATTTATACATGAAAAGGATTAGAAATTACAAGAACTAACCAAGTAATGCAAGAAACTATAAACTTTTTCTAGGAGAAGTTTTCTATTTAAACCTATGCTGGGATTCCAATTAAGATGCTTAAATCCTAAGAATTTATTCTTATTTCTATTCGTATATGACTTCGTATACGCAATCTTGTATTATTATACTTATTATATACTTGTGTTCAAGTATTCATTGTATAAACGCCTAAATTCTGAGCAGGGCATCATGTATAAACGCCTGTATACATGCTGAGCAGGACATCATGTATAAACGCTTACATGCTGAGCAGGACATCATGTATAAACGCCTACATGCTGAGAAGGTCATCATGTATAAACGCCTACATGCTGAGCAGGTCATCATGTATAAAACCAGCTCTGCCAGCACCCTGCTCTGCTGCGAGGTGTGTTGCTCTGCCAGCTCTACCAGCACCCTGCTCTGCTGCGAGGTGTGTTGCTCTACCAGCACCCTGCTCTGCTGCTGGTAGCGCACGGTAGTTTTTCTCTACCCGCCAGCGGGCAATTATTTCTCCATCTCTGCCATGGAGGCCGCAGCTCCGACTAACTACACCCTCCTCCCCCGACCGCCAATGAGGCACTGATCACAGAAAACGCGCGCACCTCAGGGATGACTGATACTTTCTTCTCGGACACAAAAAAAAAACTTCTGTCGTTAATGCCGATGACACCATGTGCTTAAGTCGAAGGCCTGCAAATAAAAACGACATATATTATAAATATAATTGAAGTACAATTTTCTAGCATCATAAAAAACGGCTTACTAGTTATAAGCACTTACTAGTTCTAGCACTGCACTTGAAAACAGCTTACTCGGAGTCAGTGCAGTGACTGCTGGGAGGCGACTTAGTATTGCATTGACGGTGGACAAGATAAGAAGTTTCAAGACACCCATAATTTGACAAATTATGTAATTAAATTATTGCATTGTATTGTATTTTCTAAAAAATCTATTTGAAAAATGGTCATTGAGTTTTACTATATTTTCTTTCAGATGCTAACGACACTGAGCTGAGCCCCGACACATCCTCTCAGATGTCCTCGAACTTCTCCCTAGCTGAGGTAACTGCTTATCACCCCTGCTGTTATCACCCTTGCTGTTATCACCCCTGCTGTTATCACCCCTGCTGTCATTACTCCTGCTGCTCCTCTTCTTGCTCCTACACTCAGTTTATTTTACTCTAAAGCTGTCAATAACCATTTACCACAACAATCCCTATTCCGTTTTCCCTTTCTTTTATTACTTCTATTACCTAATCTATATTATAAAATTATAAGAAATAAATATATTATTACCGAATCTATATTATTATATTGCTATATTATCGACAGCCCTGTAACCTCCCTATTGCCTCCCCATCGCTCCCAACACTCCAGTAACCCCTTCAACTCTCCCTTCCCCCTGTGACCCCGAACGCCCCCACTACACCATGACACTCGTCACCACCATCGGTGAGGGTGATGCCGTGTGGTGCAGTGGTGTGGTGCAATGTAGTGTGCCTACACCATAAGACGCTTGTGCCACCATCGGAGAGAATAGTGCATGTGGTGTGGTGTTGCGTGGTGTCTTGTGGTGCGCCTGAACCCTGTTTTTTGTGACCACCACTACTACACCTCATGGTTTGATATGATGACCTCATGAAATTCTGCTTGGTGGTGATGGTGTAATCATGCTCAAAATGATGACGTCACGGCACCGAATCGCGAGATGCATTGTGGAATCGGCCGCCATATTTGTTGTATGGTCTAGCTTCCGCCTACATTTTTAATCTACTGCGCCTGTCTATTTTCGAAGTTTTCGTTTAAGGATGTGACTCTACTGCGTCGTTTTTGGATGTAGCGGTCGTTTTCACGACTATTTAAACTGGAAAATGGACAATGCAATACGTTTCTTCAGTTTTTCAGCCGTGAATGCAGTGTATATCGTATCAGTTTATGTATCGAACTCATATGCGTATTATTTATCATTTTACCAGCTGTGAATATTTAGGATATACGATACTATGTATTTCCCAAGGGCAAATTCTGTTACTTGCCACTAGATAAGCTACATAGGTAAGGATAAAAAGTAATAATATTTACAGATCAGATTACATTGTCATGATCCATTATCCTCACCTTGGCGGTAACGACTGTGTTGTTGCTGCAGGCTGGTTTGTGGGTGTACATCTCCTGCACCCGTCCATCCACAAATTGCTGGAAAGCTTCAAAAGTGTGAAAGCTTCCTTGTATGCCTCGAATTCTTGCAAGGTGTACTGACTGACACCAAACACTAAATAGTTCAGTAAATCTCCGTGTAAAATGGAAGGCAGGCTTGCAAAATCTGCACACCACTGCTTTGCCGGCACTTCGTAGGGAACACATTCGTTAATGCCGAACAATATCCTTAAATACCGTTCTCTCGCTGAAGGACGGAGTTTTTGGCAATAGCTTAATCCTTTCTGCTTTGCTCTTTCTTTCTCTATCGCCACCAAAACATCCAAATGTGTAGGAACGAAAGAGTAAACTAAGGCTCGAGTGGGCAACAAACATGGCGGCGTAGCAACGCAGCTTGCGTTGAAACGCGGGAGCTTGGCGAGCCCGATAGTGGTAGTGCAGTATTGGTGGTGCTGTAGCACTGGTGGTGAGGTTATAAGGTTATTATGTAGTAGTGGTGATGCTGATCACCCTCCCTCCCAGGGTACGGGAACATCTACCCCTCCACGAGGATGGGGCGGCTGTTCGCGGTGGTCTTCGCGATGTTGGGTGTACCACTCACCTGCATCCTCATGGCCAAGAACTCCAACATCCTCAGCATCAAGATGTTGGAGCTCTACGAGCGCCTTAAGGTGAGATACGACGTCGTAGGCGATGCGTAGGTATGCTCCAACATAACATTAGGCGACAGGTGTTTTAGTCCCGTCATTCCTAGGTGCACACAAGATCATAAAGATATTCACTAAAACCTGCCTTTAATAACCAACATTTCTGTGCAGAAAAAGTACAGAAGACATTCAGAGAATGGAAAGATTCTACTTTACCTGGTGACATGGGTCTACCTCTCGATCGGGTTCATCGTTTTCATGTTTCTACCGAGCTTGGGGTTCGTCTACATGCAGGGCTGGACCTATGACGAGTCACTCTACTTCACCTTCATCACCTTAGCCACCATTGGCTTCGGCGACCTCATAGCAGGTAGATGATCACCTAAAATATCAAGTTTTACAAATGGTATTTGAAATGAAAATGTATTTGCTGGATAATGACCATAATAGAAGGTAGAGAACTGTGGTGGTACTCAAGCGACTCTTCCTCCTGTCCACTGTACTGAACTTCTTCACCTCCCCTCTAAGTAACTGGTTAAGACTGACTTGTATTCTGTGAAGTAGGTACTCATATTTTGCTTACATCATGTCATGGTCTTTTTCTACCTCTTTTTATGTTTCAGGGTACGGACCGTCGGGTCCACACAGTGATTGGTACAAGATTGCAATCGTGGTATGGATCATGTTCGCCCTAGGGTACTGGGTGCTTCTGCTCAACTTCCTACAGCGCGCCGTTAAGAAAAAGATTGTGCCCAAACGCATCAGGGTGCAGTTCAAGACCAAACAGTTGGCGAAGCAGGCAGAGTTTCTGCGACAACTCATGACCAAGGTTAGAGGGGGAGTCGTTTCCCTTTTGGCGGGTGTTCCAACGTTTAGGCAAACTTAGGTGGACACCAACCGAAAAGTGGCATGCGTTAGTTATGGAACATTAGATTTGGCCTTCAACTTTAACCAACAACCAAGCAGAGTTCCTGCGAGAACTTATCACAATAGTGACTGCACAGGTTTACAAGGAAGGTTCTGTAATAATGGAACAAACTTAGATGGACACCAGGAATAAGGGGTGTATGTTGGTCATGAAGTGCGTGATTCATGACCGAGAGCAGGATTCCTCTTGGTTCCTCTCCTCTCGTTTCGCAGACCCTATCACCGAATCCCTCATCTTCCGTAGGTGCGGGAGCAGGCCCACGAGATGCTGGAAGATGGGCACCAAGCCCCTAAACTGACGAAGGAGTCCCACACAGCTTTGTCCCTCATGGCCGAGACGACGGGAAGCTTCAACCACCTCACGAACGCCTCTAGCTTGCGCACTGGCATACGCTGCCCTTCCCTCACCACAGGTGAGCCACACGGTGTATGTTTTCCCATGCCTCAAGACCAGCGTTGAGCACAATGAACATTTGATTGAACAATTTCCATGAACAATTGATAATAATCCACGAACAATTCTTTATTTCCATGAACAATTGATAATAATCCACGAACAATTCTTTATTTCCTTGAACAATTGATAATTTTATTAAGTTCTATAAGTTGTTCTGAAACGTTGATTATAAAATCCTCCTAAAAAATTGGAATGACATTTTGTTAAAAGATAGCACAAGCACTGCGACATAGTACAACATTGATAACGAGCCATTGATGTGGTGGTGATGATGTTACTGATGTTTAGTGCGCGACAATGAAGCAGAACAGCTGGGAAGAAGCATCCTAACTTTCAGATGCTAAAAAGTAGCTGATGCTCTTCGCCAGATGTTTGCAAAAAGTTTATATAGGGTGTCCCTAAAGTCTGGACACATAGGATAGTTGAATATATTTGGTATATAATTAAAATTAAATTTTATTTTCACTATTTATTTTATTAGAATAACATCTTCAATATGAGCGCCATCATTCTTTTGTCAAAGCCATAATTGATCTGTGGATGCAAAAAATATATATATTAATAATTTTGAATACCATTCTGAAAAATATTTAACTTTACTATGTGTCCAGACTTTACGGACATCTTGTAGATTATCCGTTAAAACCAAGTCTAATTGGTATATATCAACACGTCTAAGATTTTTGGGTTAGTGACTAGCATTTAAATTCAGTGGAAAGTATTTTGAGAGAAAAAATGCGATTCGAAGTTAAATTTTCTTAGAATTTTTTGTGACGAGGGTATTTCAAGCCATAATGGCGTACCGTAAAACAATGTGTACGGTTATAGGTTTTATAATGTATATCAAAATAATGCTACGCATGTTACACCAACATCTATGCATCCTTGTACATATAGTTTATAGTGTGGAGTGTACAACGGTTTTTTCTACCACTCAAACTACGAGGTTCTACTGCAACTGTTCTGTCCGACAAACATCCTTTGTGTGATTTCCACCTTTTCTCCATTTTATACCCATTCTTGTTCCCCCCTTTTTCCGCACTTTGTACACCAGCTTGTTCCCGTAGCATCTGAAAAAAACCTTACTTCTACGTTCTAAAATTCTTATCCCCATAGCCCGGCACCCCCTTGGATCCTCGTGTCCTTTGCTCCAGCATCCCCAACAGCAACCCCAAGCCTATCCTCTACCTTCCTCGTGCTCTTCTTGCTGCTTCTTCTGCCCCTCGACAACTTCCTCTTTGGGGACGTCAGATCACTTACTTCCCCACTCAGCTGAGTCCCCATCTCCCCACCCTGGTGATTCCTCTGCTCCCCAACCTGGTGAGAACCCAGCTTCCCACGCCCTGATCAGTCCATAGCTCCCCAGCCCTGTTAAGTCCCTAACCGAGTCATGACACACGCGCTCTCCTTTCCTCGAAATATCCACCATAAGGATCATTATTTTCCTTTCAATCAAAAAATCTTCCATTCCTCTTACACCTTCTTAATTCCCTTTCCCATGACCTCTCAAAACATCTATGTTCGCGACGTCTTCCACTGTCTTCCCTCCTGTTATCTTCTTTTAACGCGCCAAATTCTCGTAAATCTTGTCATTATTGTCAAAGGAGGCACTGCACACGCAATTTCCATCTGTCTTTATAAAGAAAGAAGATGACACGCACAGAAATTCACTATTTCTTTATGAAGGAAAACGTTTCAAAGCCTAGTTCCATCGTCAGTTCTACCAGCCTGTAAATTAAATACAATTGTATCTACTTAAATTGTATTTACTTTCAAGGTTTGCCGAACTAACAATGAAACTGAACTCCGGAACGTGCCATCTTCTTCTGTTCCATCTTCTTTGTTTTTTTTTAATTCCTTGTTAATTTGTGATTTAAGCAATCAATTGATTTTAGTTCTTCCATCTGTCTTCCAGAAAAAGTGTCAGACATCGAACAGAATTCGGACGCGCAGCAGATCATGTCCCTCGTAGACCTGTTGAACGCCACGGTGGTTCTCAGATCCACCAAAGTCCCAATCATCAGATCCCTGATCGACTGCAGCAATGAAGTAAAACTCCCCAGCGTTCCAGAACAAAAGCAGATACCAGAAGGGTCTTCAGATAGGGATCAGGCTAATCTCCAAGGTGGTAAAGGGAACCTTTTGAGACGGGGATCTAGCCAAAAAGAAGTGACGTTGCCCCTCAAGGATGTACTGGGGCTCGTGACGATCGTGGCTAACTTAGAAGGACACTTGGGAACTAACCCGAGTCAGCTACGGCAGGGGGAAAACTCGTTGAACTCGAGTGTTACCTCCATGGTGTCAATGGACGCTAGGATGCCTTCCCTCAAGGAGTGTTTCGCCAAGATGAATGTCGTGGACGAAGACGACGAAAAACCTAGACGTTCGTCCATCCCAGACAAGCTCGCTAACAGATTTCGACAGGTAGCCAAGAACGACATGCCCTCGAACCTTACCAGGGGCAGAAGAGGCAGTTGTCTCGACGCTTTCTTGGACGGACAGACGCGGCTGGAGTACGTAGAGGTGGGGGAAGAGCGTAAGAGATGTCACAGTGAATCCCGCACTGGAGATATCGACTTGAAAACTGGGCCAGGGGTCTTCACGATAGGTGATACCATCATCAGTTTGGAACACGACGATGAAACTTATTATGATGAGGAAGAGGAAGAAGAAGATGATGGAAATAATGAAAAGTTTGACGACGACACTGAGTTGACTGACACTGAAACTTCGAAGATGCTTAGTGATGTGGAGGATTTCCCGCAGCCGGAGGGTAGTGGTAAATTCCGCCCGTGTCCGGACAGCCAGTTATAGGGACACATTTGGGTCTTAACGGACTTCAGGGTCATGACCAGGGACCCAGAGCAGCTCTGGGGGCTATGGCCACCTTGCTTGAACTGAGTTTTATTTCTTCAGCATAATGAATATGTGCAATAATTAATCTAATGGACGCTCATTCAATGGATTGTTCCATTGCCAACCAGTGCCTTGTGCGTAAATAATTGTATTTTTAAGTGGCAATTTATTTGTTAATAGAAATAGGTTATCTAATGGAAACGACCAAGTAAATATAAGAAAGCTCATAGAATACTTATTGTACTAGTAGAAGAGTAGGTGTAGTGCTGTTATTGCCTGAACTATTGCGTACATTACTTCCAAAGGACGTACGGTAAAATATTGCTATAAAATAAGTAAATTTCAGACTTTATATAAGATCTGACGTGTACCTATACGGTATATATGTCACTTGTTCATCTGTGGAGAGAGAAAATATAACTCAGTACTCACTGCAGTGAGTGACAGAGAGCAACCTTGCCCATGTGGTGCCCCAGACCTGGTCAAAGTGGTGCCTTAAACCTGGAAAGGTTTGATTTAACCTAACCAGGTTAACCTTAAATAAAAGGTTACCTGGTAAACTTAGGGCAGCTAATGCGGTTTGATGTTAGTTTTTGTTTATTGTTTTCTGGCAATTGTCAATGCTGCTCAACAATTCCTCCTTGTATGATTGTTTGTATGACGCAACAATTGTATTCCCCTGAAAACATTCCTCAGGATTATTATTATATACACTCTCAGGTAAATAAGTGACATTTTGTCTAAAAACTGATACACTTCTCGCCCTCGGATGGGTCACGCCCGCTCTCTGCTCGCTGGCTGTGGGGGGAGAAAGTGCGTAATTTTCGGTCAACATATCTCTGATTTATTTGAGTGAATTTACCCCCCATATAATATACGTACGAAGTTACTGGATGATCAAATTCTAATTTTTGTAATTTTGTACCAAATTTTGTACACTATGAATAAATATAGTCTGGTTAAATCTTGATTATATAAATGAACTAATGAACTGTTATTATTATATGTACATGATCAAGTTATTGTGTATAGAGAATAACCTGTTGACGCTAGTGCACCATCACCATCACCACCACCATCACTCATGCCCCCAGCCCTTGTACCCTCTCTTACCCTCTCTTCCTACCCTCTCTTCCTACCCTCTCTTCCTACCCTCTCTTCCTACCCTCTCTTTCTACCCTCTCTTCCTACCCTCTCTTCCTACCCTCTCTTCTACCCTCTCTTCCTACCCTCTCTTCTACCCTCTCTTTCTACCCTCTCTTCCTACCCTCTCTTCCTACCCTCTCTTCCTACCCTCTCTTCCTGCCCTCTCTTCTTACCCTCTCTTCCTACCCTCTCTTCCTACCCTCTCTTCCTACCCTCTTTATAATCCATACACCAAACAATACTTATTATTGTTTCAACACATTTAATATATACTTATTTTGTACTGTATATCACATAGCCACACAGCTCGACTATACAACCTACACAGCCTGTATGACGAGTATCGTGAGATGGCCTCGTGTAAGTTTATTCATTTTATTCGTCTTTTGTTATTCATAAATAAGTTACATGTTATTTCCGCAATACATTTTTAGACGCACATGAATGAATGAAATGTTTTGTTTAATTATCCTTTGATTCACCAAAAAATCTCTTAGCGAAATGAAAATTAAGTAAAAGAGAATTTTTAAGAAATTTTAAATTTACAATTTTTTTATTTTAATTTTCAATTCTTTCTCTATCAACATTACTAAAGTTTTAACGGAGAGTTAATAAGCTTCCTATGCACTAAGAAAAATGACGACTCTAGTGAAAGAGAATTTTTAGGAAAATTTTAATTTAAAAGATATTTTTATTTTAATTTTCACTTCTTTCACTATCAACATCTCTTAAGTTTTAAAAGAAAGTTAATTAGCTTCCTATGCACTAAGAAAAATGAGGACATTTTGTCAAATTTTCGGTGCACTAATTTCCCACACTATTGTGCTGCTCTTGGGTGAGTCATCCTGACTCGTTTTGGCCCCGCATGAGAACGTATCACTGTTAGGTGCAGAGAACTAGTCAATAATTGGGTGATATGATCTAACCTAACCTAATGTAACCCATTAGTTTTCTCAGTGTAAGTATAGGACAAAAGAAAAACGAAACTAAATATATAGCACTAAATAAACTTGTTATTATAGATAGCACTAAAGAAACTTATTATAATGTAGAGCACGAAGTAAATTTATTATTACTATTTCATGCCAATCAATGCACATATTGAAACATTATAAGCTTAGGCCAACATCAATGAACTATTGGAAGAGGAAATAAACTGAGAATGAAAGTCAAGCGACGACAGTTTTACTGTATATTATACATTGTGTATTGTGTAACATTTGTACAGCATTCACACACGAGGGCTGATGAAGAGCTCGTCAGGGGACTTGGAGCATGTCAGGGGACGTGGAGCATGTCAGGGGACGTAGAGTATGTCAGGGGACTTGGAGCATGTCATGGGACGTGGAGCATGTCAGGGGACGTGGAGCATGTCAGGGGACGTGGAGTATGTCAGGGGACTTGGAGCATGTCAGGGGACATGGGGCACGTCATGGTGCCATAATGTATGATGGGGCAAATTGCCTATTAATATTGGAGTAACGAAAGCTTCCATATTTAACTATAAATACTTTTCATTGCCTGGAAAAAAGTAATTACCCTCATTGCGGTTCCTTTCCTCTCGCCACATCGTACGAGGGGGGACCCAAAAAAACGAACTGTTTTTATTTTCTTCTATTTATTTATCCAAAATCTTCGTTTAAAATTTCCTAGAGTGAAGAACTCCAAGTCAATTTCTCAATTGAATTAGAGTTCGCAGTTATGCAAGTTCGTCAAAGCTTCTACGACAGTCTTCAGGGATCAGGTCCGTAATTTTCACAACATATCGTCTCAGCAGGAAAACCGTTAAAATATAGCATCATATAAAAAGCATCATCATCATAGCATCATCTTTTCAGGCTGTCTGTACCATTTTCTGCAAAGTTTTTCACATAATAAAGCAAAATTTAATTGCAGCATGTTCCTCAAGAAAATCAACCATCATCAAAAAACAACAAGCGCACGAAAAAGTGTAAAAAAAATTGCAATAATGGTACATGGTAATCTAGGACAGCAATGCTTATCACGCTAACTGATAAATGTCAGTAGCATATGCACATGCTGGGGGAATGCGGAACTACCGAAAATTTCGCCTACCACATAGACAGTCCGGTTTTATTTGGGTCTCCCCTCGTATCGCAGAGTCCCGTCTCGGAATGCTTTTTTCTTAGCCATATAGACCAATTTCGGAGGTCATCATGACACCGTTTGCACACTTCATGGGACTTCGAAGCTCTTTATTGACCTTTGCAAATTATGCAAAGTCTACAATTTTCACCAAGTCTGTAATATTCAGCTGCTTCTTCGTGGGTACTATATATTAATATATAGATTAATATATTAATATAATATACTCACTATATATTAAACTGTAATAGAAATTATTAGATGAATTAATGCACTGCCGTTGAGCTTTAAGCAAGATGGTTGAATTTGGACGAGCTACGAACGAACTAAGATAAAAAAAGTGGTAAATACATTTCGTAAACTAGCAGCGACCCTGCATGGTGTTCAGTAATCCTAACTAACATCCAGCTGACAACCAAGTAAAGAAAATTCCTGTTGATTAATTTATTTCATTAGTTCTTTCTGAAATGTTTTTAATTGAAAGCTTTTTTTTCGTCATTGATCAACTTGAATTCACTGATTTGAATTAACGAACAGTAAATCTTACTTTGAATTTTTACAAAAGCCGTTCGATGGAAAAACGTACAAAAATTGTGACTAATTGAAATATTAAGATAGTAATTAGTTTTCTTTGACATATATTCATATACGAAGAAAAAAGAAAAAACGAAACAGCTTTTTCTTTAAAGGCCTGCGTGTGTGTGCAAATGATTCTGAGCTTCCCAATTTACTTATAAACATCGAAAGAGAAATATATTATAAATATTCTTATTTTGATGAGAATTAACTTGTGCGACACGATAAACTCGTAGTTGCAAATGATGGACTTGGAGCTCGAGTTCTAATCTGATAAAGCGGACTGATAAGGGACGGGCCATATTATAAATTTATGGTTTTCCTGCAATAAAAACGGTAACTTCTAATAAAATGCACTGCAGTAAATATTCTGATTTATATCTCTACAGTAAATTCTTTCAGTTAATTTTCGTTTATGTAACTATGGCCAGCAGCGGAGTGTTACAGCGTTAAACTTTTACGTCAGAGCCCCAGTTTACCGCACGAAATCAAATCATCGATCATGGTAAATAATTTTCTAAATCTTCCGCATATAACGGGAGTTTAGAAGCGGGTAAAAAATGATGAGAAATTGAATAAGCTCAACATAGTTTTCCACATGTTAATGAGGAATAAATTAGGATCTTTAGAGAGATCCAACGCAAAAAAATGTAAGATGAAATTTAAGAGCAATGCCCGTGCAATGTCTAGTTCGGGAGAAAATCAAACGAAGAATGTGCTAAATATTAACTGCGTAAACTTTCTTGGAAAGTTCGTCCTTTTTAACGTGAGGTCGTGAATTTTCTGCTCCGGAAATGAAATTCAATATTTCTGTAGCTGAATGTGATAAAAAAGTGATGATTTTATGACCGCAACTGTCGTGTTAAAAGGCAGCGATGTACTGATAACGAATATCGCTGCACTGGGCGAACCGGATGTCGCTTCTTATCATTATGATGGATCCGCAATCTGCATGGGTATAAAGCTGGGCTTGAAATGATTCCACAGTTCATTTCATAACACTTTCGATCTCATCGCCATCTGCGATAGTCGCGATAAAGCGGTGCACAACACTTCAATTCCCTTCCACAATTTCGCTGTGTTTTAGAAAGTCTAAAACAATTATGACAATTTATAATATAGTGACATTATAGTTACATTACGCAATGATCGCAGCGAATGAATTTTTCAATTGTGATCGTTGAAATTTTACTGTATTTTTTTTTTGTGAAATTTTACTGTATTTTTTTTTAATTCAAACTAAGTTTCTAACGCTCGCGTCATCCCGATTCTATGCTTCGAGACCGAGAAAAAAAAGTTGTAATGAAAACTCATTTGGTGGTTCAAAATTTGGTGGCATAGAAATGTGAACGATTGAGGGGATACTGTACAGGTTTTGTGCTGCAACTATTAAACGGATAAATGTGCCTCAGATGATATTTTAAACTGGCGAAAAGGCTGTTTAGTTGTATATTAACTTACAAAAACTCTATACCATGTTGCAATAAAACAATATGGATCTATACCATCTACAAACTAGTCGTGCGACAAACAAATGAAAGAAATCTGGCTTGCGGCAGCAATGATTTTATGAATAACAAAATATTAAAATTCATTTACTTGAATAAGTGAATCGAATTTAAATGGCTACTTCATTTCAAGAATATTGTTCGATAAAGTGAATGAAATTTATAGACAATTAACAATTAAATCAATGTGTATATCAATGTATAGCAGGGCAAAATTTGTAGAGGTCACAAGCAAATCAGGGCCCTTGGCTTTCTCAGCCATTGCGAACGACACTAAACGCTTTATATTATTTTACAAATCTATTTAACAATTTTTGGTGGAAGTACATAGCAAAGGTTACAATTTCGCAGGATACGGCAAGCACCAAATGATTCGAGGAATTTAGTTTCAAAATTTACCAAACAAATTTTACGCTGCCACAAAAACTTAGTTGTGAGCAGGACTTAAAATTCTTGGCAAACCCGCTAGCGTCGAGCAAAGTCACTTGTGAAGTTAATAACGCTATTGTCTCTATATTTGATAATGTATGCTAAGTTAATGATGACGCTACTGAGCACATATGATGCTTGCTTACATTTTCACCAAATTATTAGCTATCAGAAAATGCAGCGACATTGATTCGTTTGATATTATTAAATGAACTCATTGTAGGCGGAAAATGCTTAGGACGACCGATAGAGAAAGTAAAAAGCATTTGACTATCGTGATGAGTTGCAAGAGTTAACTGAGTTTTTAATTAACTTTCTTGCAAGAATCCAATGAGATAAAAAAATATCTCGCGTAAAAAATGCCGATCTGAATATTGGTTTAGTTTGGAACAACGAGCTTCTTTCAAAACATGCACAATGTCGTGGTATATATGAATGATTATATGAGATATCGCGTCAAAAATGTTTTCATCTCTGCTACATTGATGATGAATACAGCGAAAATGAATACAATACACCAGCTTGTGTGAAGCTCGGCAACGTAAGTTTCGTTTTCGTTTGTTGAGCTGTAAATTCCTCCACGAACCCGGTGGAAGTCTAGTAGCTACTTCAAACTATCGTCAGTCATGAAAAGATGCGGTCAAATGAAACGATATTAGATCTTCTGTGAACAAGGCACGAAAAGGAAAAGAATCGGCGACAGGCCACATCAGGCCTACACTGCAGCGCCGAGATCACTGTGCTATGTTATTACAAACCATGAGGACCTCAGAATTTTTTCGAGTATTAATTTTATTGAATGAACATGAATCGATTTCTAGATATACTGAATTATAGAATAATTGAAATTCGTTTCAATTTCCATATCAGTCTTTACTGAAAAGGAAAAGTTAAGTTTGCCTATATTGAAATTATCATTACATATCTCTAATGGCGCCTGGCAGGAAATCTGCGGCTAAAAGAACGACCAACCAACATTCCGGGTAAGCAAAATGTACAAACTTTCAATGGTAGCTTAATAAGCTCGAAACTAATATAAGATATTACATTTTTTATATTTAAAATCAACCATATTAATACCACCGTGAGTATAAATATACCTGATATCATTTCGTAACTGTATTGACCTTTGATATTCCTTCTTAATTTACTAAAAAGAATATTTTTTTATGTAATTCCCATGTTTTCTAAGCTATTGAAAGTTTATTTATTTAGTGCTACATTCCAGGGCGAATACAAAGAAGTCTCGACCTAACGATGAGACCACAAGCGCTGGAAATGATGCTACCGAAGTTTCTTCTGAACAAGCCTCTGCAGCTGGCAACCCCATTCTATTAGATCCCTTATTTGCCAAACACCTCAACCTGCCAGACAAACAAGAAATACCTGTATATAAGGACTATTCCTGCACACTCACCCGAGCTGACATTGCGATAAACAGGAATGAATTTTATGTGATACAAATGACCAAAGTCGAAGAAAAATACCATGTGTGCTTTCGATATGGACGAGTGGTTAGTTGCCTAGTCATATATTTAGTTTTGAAAACAAGCGTTGAACACCAGCATGAATTGCTTATTCAAAAATCTTTCATTTCTAGCTGGGCTTTGTATGTTTTTTTTCTGTAATTTGGAGTCTACGAGGTGCCACTATATAATAATTAGTTATTTATTTCTATTTATTCAGAAGCTGAGAAAAGGTCAATCCGATCACCTAGCAATGCATTCTTTTCATTATATTTTAATACATTATCTATTCGAAATATTGCAGCGAAATATTTGCAAGAGACAAAACGGAGAGAGTAACCTGCAGGCCACCAAACGGACTAACCGGCAACCAAAACCGAGACTGCAGGTTATTTCATGCGCATCAGAAGCCGAGGCAGAGAAAGTGTTTTGCAAGAAGTTCAAGGAAAAAACCGGCAACGAATGGGAAAACCGAAGCGCGTTTGTTACGAAGCCTAACAAATACACATTGTTGGAAATAGGTGAGTCAGCCCTGCCTGCATCTTATGTGATTTATGAAGCAAGCACTCCATGCTTGCTTCAACCATGAGTACTGACAGGCACGCCTCATATACTGACCATACCATGAGTACTCATATGCTGACAGGCACGCCTCATATACTGACCATACCATGAGTACTCATATGCTGACAGGCACGCCTCATATACTGACCATACCATGAGTACTCATATACTGACAGGCAAGCCTCATATACTGACCATACCATGAGTACTCATATGCTGACAGGCACGCCTCATATACTGACCATACCATGAGTACTCATATACTGACAGGCATGCATACACACCGTTGTTTATCCCAGGAACAGGGACCGACGCTTCTCTGACCGCCAAAATTTCTAAATAACCCGGAACGAGCCTGTCCGTGTACGCGGATACTAAAAAATATTAAAACTAAAACTAATAGTTAAGCTAATGCTGGGATTTATTCCAGCACACAGATCTTTATTTTGGTTTTAATGCAATTAAATCTGCTTGGGTTTCACTCATCAATCTATAACAGATTGTAACATAAAACATATTGATGTTATATATAGATATAACATCAATCTATGACAATATATATAACAATATTGATGGTAACTCGAGATTTTTTTATCGATGTGAATCAAACTGACAGATCTGTTGAGCGCAAACTCCACAGCTGAGACTAGCGACGACGACTCCAGCTCAGCGCCCATCGATGGATTAAATTTTGGTGAGATTACAATGACATATTAGATACTTTTTACAAAATTTATTGTTTCATAGTTATTCATTTACATCATTGGACATGCAGCTATCAAGGAAACATTTTCTAGGCTTAAGTTCCGGAATGTATCTAACCAAGATATGAACAAAACTTCGGTATCGGAGAGTCGTAACTATAGTGAAATTCAAGTGCTTTATCAAGTTTGAGGGTCATTTATGAGTAGGAAAATTTTATTATTTATCTTGATGATTATACAGGATATTGCATATACACTTTGCGCCCATTGGCTTCATGTATAGCAGGGTTTATCTTCAGTATTTCCGAAGTTAAATGTGAAGGCAAAACCGATGCTTCCTGCCTGTAAATTTTTATTATGTCTTATTTTTTGGTAAATGGAAATTTAAAATGATCCTACTTCTGAAATAATCCTGTCTTTCATAATGTGCTACAAGTCTTGGTGTGAACGGTTCTAAAAAAACTCATCATATAGCAGCGTGTCATCTTATCTTATCATCTTATCACGTTTGCGATGTCCCATCATTTAGTCAATTCATTAAGGCATAGTTTAAACCAGTGGTTCCCAAAGTGGGCGATATCGCCCCCCTGGGGGCGATAGAAAGATCTGTGGGGGCCTTTAGAAAGATCTATGTTTAACCTTTCTCTTTCAAAATTGCAGCATACTAAATATCAAGAAAGAGGCATTTGTTTTTATATGTGTCTGTCGGCGGGGGGGCGCTATAGATTCATTGGGGAGCCAAGGGGGGCGCCAGCCTGAAAAAATTTGGGAACCACTGGTTTAAACTCTCTGGAAATTGTAATCAGTACTTCTATTCTCAGGCTAAAAAATTAAGTTCCGTAATTTAATTGAATGCTTGGTGCAACATTGCTGCCTCGAAGGGTTAACACCAACATGAGAGGGAAGAAGCATTTTGCGTATGCAGAACTTGCATGACCTCGCTTGCTATTCTATGACGTAGCTACTTCAATTCCACTATCTAGAATATTCCTAATAAAATTCGGGGACCACCTAGGCTTAATTATGCCGAATAGTCACTACACTCGGCGCAAAGTTATTCTGGGTTTACTTGGCCACCTGATCGAAATCAGCTTCTGGTCAGAATCTCCTTTCCGACTCTATTGCTCAGAGACTACACTTCGAACCCTGAGCCGAAGCGGAAATAGAGAAGCTGATTTACGTACGGTCCGAGTCCTAGGCGGCCCCAATGCACAGTCGTGCACGCTTCTAAATTTTGTTAGGGGGACAGCGTCCAATATCACCAATCATCGTGTAATTCATCGTTATAATTTTTTTAAATGTAGTGTTTGACATTTTGTGCTTGCCTTAGCTAGTAATTAAATCACTCAAATAATAAGAATGAAATTTTAAACTACTTATGTTTGCGGTAATCTCAAGGCAACGTCGAAAACCCCTTAAAATAATAGTAATTAGGTTTTGCTGTTAAATGTTTATAAGAAATTTTATTCTGCCACAAAGACCCCCAAGAGATGCCCCTAGGACAACTCAGCAACAACCAGATATTAAAGGGTCTGGAGGCGCTCAAGGACGTCTTAAAGGACGGGGTGAGTGTTCATCCACTGACTCGGTGCCATGCTTTCAAAATTCGCTAAGTGAACGTAAGTACTTACGCTCTATTTTCTTGTCTATGATTAAGTGAACGTAAGTACTTACGCTCTATTTTCTTGTCTATGATTAAGTGAACGTAAGTACTTACGCTCTATTTTCCTGACTATAATTGGTGGATTTTGCTTGAAAGGCCGTCAATGATTGGCTGATGAACTTACGATCTCTTAACTTTTTTTAAAGCATAGGCCTCGGTGAGGTCACTGTTCGCAGCGATATACGTTCCTTGGTCAAACTGCTGCAAATAGCAGCACGAGTAAGCTATCACTCAAGGAATGTCCATTGGCTATAAACAAGATACGTAATCGTATAATTTATGAGAAATAAATCTATTTAACAATTGAATTTTTCAATAAGGTCAATTAATGAAGTATTATTTTTAACCAGTTTTGGTCTCTGAAAAAAAATGGCTGCTAAGTTATGCACATGTTTGATTATTCGCTGCAGATGGCGTATCGTAGTAGCTTTTCATGTAACAGATCTTACTTTGATATTACTTGGAACTATTTATTTTGAGAGTAAATTTGTTTCTCATTTTGCAACTTATTTGAGAAGTCTGTTGGGCAACTCCCTACCTGCTTTATCATTGAAGGACTGTAGATTTAGTAAAGTTCTCAAACATCTTGACCAAGATTTCTTATTGACGTTTTTTGATGACCTTTATTCTGTGAAAGTTGTTAGTTCCACATATCTGCTAATAAAAAAAACATACGTAACATACATTTTTTATCTTAAATCAAGAAATCCTGATGACAACCAATCAGGACAGATCTTTATTTTGGTTTTAATGCAAATAAATCTGCTTGGGTTTCAATCATACATCTATAAGAATAAATTTCAAATTTAAAGTGGATCAAGATGAAATTAGAAAAACTACATGCTTCACAGTTATACTAATTGCGCTCTTCCGAACGCACGTTTATTTTCCAGCAGAGCCAAAAAACGAAGATTGAGGCAATGAGTCGCTTCTACATGTATTACCCTTGCGACGTCGGGGGGAATGATAAGAAACTGCTCCTACCGTCGCCTGCGGGAAATAGTAAGAAACTGCTCCTACCGTCGCCTGCGGCCATCAAGGAGCTGGAAAAGGCGTTAGAGCTCATACTCGACAACAGAAGCCGGTCAACATAAAAGTGAGGCATCCAGCATTTGTTGGGATTTATTTGTTGACGTCAGAGATATTAGATTTCTTAATTGTTCGAAGGTAAACTGTGTGCAATAGTGAAATACGGAAAAAAAGAAACAGTCATACCGGGCGTACATATATTGTAAAAAATATAACTCAGTACTCACTGCAGTGAGTGACAGAGAGCGCACTTTCTCGTCGACGAAAACTTGAAGTCACGGACGGACGGACAGACGGATGGACGGACGGACAGACAGACAGACAGACGGACGGACATGGCAAGCGCAATAGTGCATTTTTTCCACAAATGAGAAAATGCGCTAAAAAGCCCCTACCTTTTAATTACATCTATCTACAGATCGGGGATTGATATCATACGCTCATGCTCTAGTTAGAATACCCCAGTGAGAAGTACAGCGTTTCTATGTAAGTGTAATGTTTCTATTCATGTACGTTTCTTTCATATCGATGGTTAGGACAGTATTTGGAAGGTTGGGACGATTCAAAAACCTTCTTCATGTTTTACGGCAATTTTCTTACTTCAATTATTGTTTGACTCTCAATCTTCATTTCATTTCAGAATCAATGCAAAGTATGAGTCGACCCAAGACATTTCAAAGATGGAGAAAATTTAACAATGCCATGTGACAAGAAGTGAAATACAAGTGGACGTAATCCGCGGGAAAATTGGGTTAACACATATTCAGTATTTTTTCCAACTCAGCTGCTGGAGGAACATCTGTGGCCCACAAAAGTTACAAGCGAATGGGTAGAAAATTGAGCCTGCGGCATTGAATGCAGCTTCATAAGCGTTTCTACGTCTCAGCTCATAAGTTTTATCTTTAACTCCACAACGGTTCTTGATTCGCTCAAGCTCAACCCGATTCCCCAATTCTGCTTCAACGTGATTGTTAGTTTAAAGTTCAGTTTTTATAAGGATTTATTTTCATTCAACACTGATGAAAATACATATCTCTTAATTAATATTGCTTAATTTATATGATTAACTTGTATGTATGTGGGACCAAAATAATATATATCCACACTCGCTAAATTCTGCTGGCAGCATTGACTATTTGAGTTAGGTGTAAATGCGGTCTTCAGCTTAACGTATTATTTTGTGATTTCTTATTATATTTATTTTAGAATTAAGAAGTATCTATAACTGTAAAACCTTTTCATGTGCTCAAATTAAAAAAAAATTGAACTCGCATGATAGATTATAAAAGAAGCTCTGATATACAAGAAGTAACGAAGGGAACAAAACCCATACTAGAGCAACCCTTAACTTAAATAGCAACCCGTAACACCTAAACTTCTAACCACTATTATAGGGTTCATGGCTGCATCATAGTTCAAATCAGCAAAAGCTGTCTCCTTTCGATATGAAGACGTCTGATGACACCAACAATAAACGACCAAAAAATTAAAATGAAACATTAAACTCTAGTGGGTGGTCCCCAAATAAAAATTAAAGGTGGCGCATCGATGATTATAGGTGGCGATGGTTGATTATAGGTGGCGTAACGGTGGGTGGCCACGCCAGCCAAAAATCACCATTGAAACGCTGATAAATCGAGAGGATGCGCGAGCCAGTCCTGTACTAGAGTAGGATTTCCTGTCCTTAAGTATATAAGTGTTGAACTGATAAATGTTTGTATCTTTTCCCTTGTCAATTCGTCGCCTAGCTGCCAGCGTGAGAACTTTTCAACGCGCCGACCCTCGTGCTAGAAACCTGACAGTATGTTAAAAATGTTTATTTAAAAACTCTATCGAGAGTTCCATACGATTGATGAGACGAAATAACTGGTGGTCTTGAAATAACTATAAATATGGTTGACGCAACCCCTTAGGTCGATGAGTATAATTTCGGTTGAAATCACTACATCAAGACTATAAAAGAAAGGTTAGAAATAAAGTAGAAGTAGGAACCATTTCTCTAATCATGGTCACTCTCTTAATGTTCGTTGACGTCTTGGCAATATCCAGCACGTTTTATTCATGTGCAGTAAATTGGGGAGGTGTCATAATGTTACCTGACAAGTTTTACTTCAAGTGGCCAAATGACTTTCGGGAAGCAACAAAGCCATGATTTTCATGCGTGACGATATGTGGCCCTAAGAAGCATAACGATATAGTGGGCCCAATGAAGCATAACGATATCACCGTTGAAGTTGACCATTGCATGTTTGAGCTACTTATATGAGCGCAGTTTGAAGTAAATAACTCAAAATAACCCTCGCTACTCAAGACAGAAGAATCAGATCGAAATCCTGAAGGAGCTTACAGGGAATGGTTGTAGCAGAACATCGAGCTTAGACCAGAAGACGTGACAGTAATAGCAATTAATTATCGAAGTTTTCAGCACCATGACCCAATGGTGCTGAAAACTTCAGCACCTGAAAATTTCAGCACCTACTCACAATGCTATGAAAAGCCTCGTTGATGGAGGGAATTACTCCTGAAGGCCTCAAAGTAGGACTGATATCGTCAATTATCAAATTGAGGAGGTCTGAGTGGCAGACCCAAAACTCACGGACCAGTTAACTTGACCTCACAAGTAATCAAGGTGTTGGAGAAGGTAGTGGCCAGAAGGCGTGTCCAGTATATGGAAGAGGCTGAGTTGTGTAATGATTACCAACACAGTTTTCGTCGAACTGATGCCAGTTTATCACCGTTAATGGAGCACTATCACCGTTTTGTGGCCATACTGGAGGAGGGAGCTGGCGTAGAAGTGGTATTATCTGGACTGTGCGAAAAGACTTTGACAAAGTGGACCTCGGGGTGCTATTCGGTAAACTAAGGCTGCTGGGGGTAAAAGGTAGCCTGTTAGGGTGGATCCACACTGTTAGAAAAAACGGTCCCACTGGCCTTCTAGTGGCCGGTCACCCCGTGAAAATAAACTGTTTCGCCGTTTTTATCAGATGTTTTACGGATCTCTAGTGTTAAATTAGAATAAAAACGGTGACACGGTGTTTCTTTTCACGTGCCAACCGGCCACTGAAACGCCGGTAATACCGTTAACGGTAATTTTTTAAACGGTAATTTTTTAACAGTGCACAACATCCTTAAAGATAGAGTACAAGCTGTCGCGATCAGAAACTCTAAATCAAGAGAAGCGAGGGTGAAAAGCGGAGTACCTCAGGGCTCACTGCTTGGACCGATCCTCTTCATCATCCTAATATCCAATTTCGGCTCCAACTTACCTGTATATATCTATATCGTCATTTGTGGAAGATGCACTTTTTGCTGATGTGGTTCACAGTCGTCCTTGCCTGCGAGAGGTTATAGGATTACTTTTAGACAATCTACGACTGGTGCCTAGTGAATAATATGCAATTCAGCGAGACTAATTTTGAAGTATTGAGTATTGAGATACAGGTTAACACAGAGGCCAAGATGCTGCAACGATAGCCACTAACACACAAAGACATATTACTGCTCAAAATGTACGAGCAAGTAAATAGTTGTTAGGCCCTTGACCTTAAATGTCAAATAAAAGGGCACAGAACTGTCAAGGACTAAGAAAAACAACCATCACCTAATCCTAGGTTTCGTCACCAATTAACGTGTTGCGGGAAAGCGGGCAACTATTAATACATACTGAGTAGCCTATAATAACTCAAGTTCCCCGGCCTATATAGGAGTGGCTACTTTCCTTGTGAGTGAAATAAGGGAATCTTAGATTTATGTATTATTGAATATTCAGAGACAGATAGAGACAGCGAGGCTAAATATACATTGATCTGAAGAAGCGTCGCAACAAATTGAATGATTCAGCAAAGTGGCTACTACTGACTCAACACACGTAAGTTATTCTAGATTCCTATCGGCTTGGATCGCATAGTAGCTACAAGGAATAACTAGACCAGTGACAGGCAGAGCGTCTTGACAGTCATCATGCACGGTTTCAATGGGATACGCTGGGACCGATACCGAATCTCATTCAAAGAGTTGAAGTTCCATGAATGGCACTAATGGACAAATACCATCCACCTGTTGGACCAGAATGGGTTTCCTGTATTACCAAGGAAAGAGCTAAACATTATTCAGAAATTCATGGTCAACAATACAAAATCTCGGCAAACATTAGACTATGCTATGGTCGGCAAATTGACCTAAGCAAGTCTTGAAAAATGGTCGCTTGAAAGGTAACAAATCAAGAAGAACCTCATGCATGCATGTACAGGGTGTCCCAAAAAAAAACGATACTCAACTTTGAATGGCTGTAACTCGAAAAGTAATAGAGTTAAAAAAATTTGAAAGGTCAGAATTTGTTCCCTATGTTTTTCTCCATCTCTCCACCAAAAATCAAACAGATCGATGTAGCCATAAGCGTTTGATAGAACTTTTAGTGACATGTGCTAAAATCGTGCTTGCGCAAAGTTTAGTAAGATATACTCATTACGTTGTCTTGACATTTTTTCTTTTCGCTGTTTTATTTTTAGCGCATTTTCTCATTTATGAAAAAATGCACTATTGTGCTCGCCAAGTCCGTCTGTCCGTCCTTCTGTCCGTCTGTCTGTCCGTCCGCGACTTCATGTTTTCGTAGACGAGAAAATGCGCTCTCTGTCACTCACTACATTGAGTACTGAGTTACATTTTTTGTATCTTTTGTGAGACAAAAACATGGCAATCTTTGGTGAGAGGCAATCTTTGGTTTTGAAATTCTTTCTCACCAAAGATTGTCATTGATTGACGATTGTGTCACCAAAGATTGTCACGATTGCCTCTAACCAAAGATTGCCATGATTGTCTCTCACCAAAGATTGCCATGTTTTTGTCTCACCAAAGATACAAAAAATATAACTCAGTACTCACTGCAGTGAGTGACAGAGAGCGCATTTTCTCGTCGACGAAAACATGGAGTCACTGACGGACAGACGGACGGACGGACAGACGTACATGGTGAGCACAATAGTGCATTTTTTTCATAAATGAGAAAATGCGCTAAAAATCGAACAGCGAAAAGAAAACATGTCAAGACAACGTAATGAGTATGCAAAATGATCTTACTAAAACTTTGAAAAACAAATATCAAAACTATAAACCGTGTATCTCTCTGGCCCTTGCCTAATAATTCCAAATCATGTCCTAAGTTCGGAGCCTCGCTGAAAAGCAAGAATAAATACAAATCAAGGACTTGAATTAACGGAACTCTAACAAGTGAATATAACACATAAATAACAACTAATATAATAGTAATATTCAATATCACCAAAAAAACCACCACTATATCAACAAGGAAGACTAACACATGATAAACAATGCAAGTACCAACCTCCGTGGTGGATCACATGACAATGACAAGATACAGGGCGGGTCTACACGAGGTCACGTAATAGTACACTCAAAAACAAAATGACAATCCTAACTATCGATGAAATTATTATATTTAAAAGCGGTCCCTAACAATACAGTGTGTGATGCTGTATAAAATTGAAAACGAATAATTGTAAACTTTTCAAATATGTAGCTGCACGCTGAAACATTTAACAAACATAACATAACAGCGATGTCGGCGCTGAAGTGTAGGCCTGATGTGGCCTGTCGCCGATTCTTTTCCATTTCGTGCCTTGTTCATAGATCTAAACTCGTGTCATTTGACCGGATCTTTTCATGACTGGCGATAGTTTGAAGAAGCTACTGGACTTCCACCGGGTTCGATAAGGAGCTAGGCATTTCAAATCTGAACATATATTTTTCCATAGCTTTATCTAGTCTGTTCTTGAACGCGTTCTTACTTGGAGCATTTAACATGCTGAAAATGGAAAATCACTAAATAAACTTTTTAAAAAGGGGAAACATAGAATGAAAGTTTCACGAGAGTTTTACTGTATTTTGTGCAGCATTTGTACCATATTTGCACATGCCGGGGGCTTACCTATAGAGCACGTCAGATGAAGTGATATCATTCATTATAATTAGGGTTAACGTCGAAGGCCAATCAATGAACACTCCAATGATGCTAATATCATTTTGTTAACAATAAAGTTTGTTAATTTTTTCCTCCTGAATCATATAAATAATAACCAAAAAATCAACCAAGAATTCAAAATCAAAGATAAGGCAAACAAATATTTTATTTTTATGTATCGTTAACTTCGGAGCCCGGCTTCTCTCAAAACTTTATATAATACAAGTACACAAATTAAATGAGAAAACTAATTCTACACAAAGGGGATTGATTTATGCGAAAAAACTACCAACTCTCAATTTCAAGCGCTAGGAATAATAAGCATTGTTGAGACAAGTTTTCTATTTGAAATAAAAATATGCAGAACATCTAAGATCCTTGAATCAGAAGCATTCATATTTGTTTGTATTTATATACGATTTCGTGTACTAATACTTGCATTCCTGAATATTCCTTATATACTTTTACTCGTCTTTTCTGATACTTATTATATTCTTATGCTAGTTTTCTTTTTGTCATGAATAAAGGTTCTAAATGCTGAGCAGGACATCGTGTATAAACGGCTACATGCTGAGCAGGTCATAATGTGCCGTGTGCTCCCTGTCGGCCATCTTGTGTTCCCTGTCGGCCATCTTGCTCTGCTTCTGCGCTTGCACCATCTCAGCCCAGAAGTCATCTTCCTGAACATCCGACTTTTCAATTCTTGGCATACCTGAAACGTGGGGAAACGTAAGTCAAATCGAGTCAAAACTGATCCCAAAAGTGTAACTGATGTAACAAGTCCCAGTTCCTTAGAGATCCCGAGACACTTGGTTGTTGAGGTCAACCCTAGGACACGGGGATGTTGGGGTCAATTTTAGTTGACCCAAAATAATGGGGCTTTTGGGGTCAACCCCAATACAAGGGGTTGTATAGGTAACTGAGACACTAGGTTGCTGGGATCGACCCCAAGACAAGAGTTTGTTGGGTCAACCCCACAACATGAGGTAGTTGGAATCAACCCAAAGACTAGGGGTTGTCATAATTAAGAACAGGTGTCTCACCCTCGGAGGTGAGAGGGCGAGCGGTAAGCTGCAACAAGGAGCGTTCCCTCAGCTGGCCCTCCGTACGTCGCCTGATGAGAACAGAAGGGCGGTCATGAGGAGGCTCATAAGGGGCACGATTGCTGTTACTAGGGCACACAGGGGAAAAGATTGCTCTTAACTGGAGCTCAATGGAGGACACGCTTACATTTAACTAGGGGTTACACGATTGCATTGCTGTTAACTGGGACACACAGTGGGGAAACGATTGCATTGCTGTTAACAGGGGACGCGATTAACTGAAGGTACGATTCTAATTATGGAAAATAGATTTGTCGTCGCAAAGCATCACCTGCGGTAGACCAAACACACGATGACAGCTAAGACGATGAGGCAGACAAAGCCCACGGTGATGCCAACCATGAGGTGTCGTCGCGACGACTCCAAGTTAGAGACGGCGCTGGTCAAGGGCTCATCGCATCGGTCGCCTGGGCACGAGAGAACCGAATGAGGTAAGTGAGTGCAAGGGGTTCTGTCTAGAGGAAAGTTTGAGGTTCTGACATATAAATTTGATGGAGAAATCGGAATGGACCACCGTAACCTGGCATCAAATAGCAAAAATTTTGAAGAAGCAACTCGTTCGTGATCTTGGAGTGTTGATGATTACCGAGACTACGTTTGGTAATCACAGAAGCATCAATAGTTTGGTGGTGCCAATGCGCCGGGATCTTTACAGCCCTCGTACTCCTCATTTTGGAGTACTGCTGCCAGCTTTGGGTGCTGCTCAAAGCAGGTGCGGTACGGCAATTGGAGGCAGTCCAACGGACCTTCACGTCAAGTATCAGTCGCCAGCAGCGCCCACCTCCCGAGCCTCCGTCTCGGCATGACTGAGTCACGGTGTTCTTATCTGGTCCTGGATGCTGGCAGCGTTTCGAGGCAGCTTGCACCAGCACCTACCAGGCTTGGCTAGAACTTCCCGGGCTTGAGTATGTCTCCCCGCGTTTTGGTTTGGCTCGTTCCCATATCACTTGCTCCTGCTTGGCTCTACCTGCTGTACTGTGACAATTTGAAACACCTGGGACTGTACTCACTGGAGAGGAGAAGGAGGTAGGTAAATCACCATTAACAATTGTAATATAATAACTGGTCTAACCGTAAACGTTGAGAATGAGGTCTTCAGGATTGTTACTTGCATTATACCCCATTACACAACAGAGCTACAGTAATAGTTCAGTCTCTGAGGGAGGATCCCTTTCCGTGCGGGACCAAGACAGTTTAACATTTTGTCAATGGGGCTGAAAGAGGGGAGTGTTCACCAACAGAGAAATGCAAATAATTCTAAAGATCAAACTAAAAAATTGGTACAGGAAGTATCAAAATGAACAAGAAATGAATGTGAAGCGAGTGATTGAGAAAGCGAGTATATACCTCCGAAGCCGGGGCGACACGTGCAGGCGTCCACGTGGTGGCAGATGAACTGATCAGAAGAGCAGCTGCAGACCCCCAGACACTGCAGACCGTAGAAGCCAGCAGGGCACGCTGTAATTCACATCATTTACATGCTTTCATGATTGAATAATGACACGAAAGAAATACAGTAAAATCTAGCATACTCAAATATTCACCTATTATACTACCTCATCGCAGTCTTGATTACCACTTGAAATCTGGGCTGCGAAGTCCTTAGCTCTCTGATTTAGGTAAAAAAGAATCAGCTTTTTATTATTGAATTTATTCTCTCTTAGTATGCTACACTAAAGGTTTCTGAGTACATCTTTTGTAGCTGCTTCATTTGTGTAGGAGGATGAACTTTATGTTTATATTCCAACATTTTTGACATCGTGATCTGAGTTGCGGGTAACCTTTCATATTAACCATCTATGTAAATGTACTCGCCCATCTAACCAGGACCCTGTCACTTTGTGCACAGCCAGACCCATCCAGCCGGGATACCTGACTCACTCTGTGCACAACAAGGATCCGTACAGCTGGAGGACATTACACCTTCTGTTCACAATCGGGACCATCTATCCAAGGTACCCAACTCACTTTGTGCACAGCCGAGACCCGTCCAGCCCGGCAGGCATTCGCAAAGGCCGTCGGAGGGTCGGCAGGAGGCGTGGTTGTGGCAGTGGCAGCGCTGCTGGCAGTTGTAGCCGAAGAAACCGGGGGTGCAGGGCTGCGAGCAGTCCACACCCGTCCAACCGGGCTGACACACGCACACCCCTGCAGTGAAAAGCTAAAATGGATGCAGTTCCTTATTGAAATGCAATAATATGCTCTTCCATAACGGACACCATCGGTCGAACGCGTACCGTTAAGAGTCAATACTTATCACATTCCCTAACGCCTCGAGTGTTGCTGATTCGTGAAATAGTCGTCCGGTTTAATTTCAGTCTCTGCATTCTTTGTCGTAATGAGTTTCGTAAGGTGTAAATAAAAGCATAATTTGTTAGGGGTAGAAAAAGTGAATGAAATGAAAACATAAGAATTAAAGGTCTCTAATACATTGTTAAGAACAACAAAAAGTGGATACCAAATGATACGGGTTCCACCCGCACCGAGATGCCATGCACATGTCTCCGACGCAGTGCTCACTGGACGGAGGTTGCATTTTCTTCGCTCTCTATTCAGAAGCTCACTAGTGCCTTGGCTAGTGAGAAAGAGATGCTCTTTGAGGCCCTTAACTTCTGTTTCTGTTAATTTCAGTTTTTGTTGTTTTCTGTTTTGTTCAGATGAGCTTTCATTTCCACCAGGTCGTTCCGTAATGAGTGTAATTCGTTACGCAACATGAATAAATTTATAGATAATTCTGACTTTATTTTATACTATACTATTGAACATAGCATGTGTGCAGGTGTTGAAAACAATAGGAATCTGGTTTGAAACGATATAGAGTGTGTATAACGCGGTTGTTTCGTGGAAATTAAGAGATTTCAGTTATCTTAACTGATAGATTTTTAACTTAAATTGTGTTCGGATTTTCTCTTCCTGTACTAGAGATTTCAGTTTTTGTTAACTTGGGACGTGAACTGGAATTTCATATTTAAAGTCAAATGTACCAGTGTTTCATTGCAACCCTCTCTCTGTACGATTTTTTCCGTAACCTATTCCTACGAGAACTTATATACGCGAATACTCCGAGTAAAGCCTAAAACGCTACGAACGAAACCTGACCTAATTGAAGCAATTACCGATCAATCAATAATAAACTTATAAAAATTAAGCAGGAAACAATCCTAAAAACTCACTCTAATCAAACAAACTTAACTCATTTTTGTGAGTCTCTTCCATTTTGGCTCTAAAGACTGAGAACATAGAAGAGCACTTCTCTTTCACGGAGGCGTAGCCATGGGACACAAAGTCAACTATTAAATAAGCCCAAGCTGGATCCAACGTCCAGCCATAGTGTGCAATAACTTTACTCAGCCACAAAGCTAGAAGCGGCAGACTCTGCTGGAACATCAATCCAGACAAGTGACAAACTGCTTGATGATAATACTGTAGTGCCGCGTAGGTTTTCAGCCAATGCTTAAATATGTTCGATCATTAGCAGGCAGTTCAGCACCGGCATCACATATTCCGGCCTAAACACTTCTGGCCTAACCTATTCACGCCCCGACTCACAACTTGCTTGCAGCTCTACCTGCTCACAAGCTCCTCCTCTAGCTTCGCGCAGCCAATAGGTTTAGGTCATGTCCGCTCAGGTTTGTTTTGGGTGTAGATATGTTGCAATGTGTGTAGGTTAGGCCAGAAGACGCTAGGCCGGAGTAAGTTTGTCCGATGTTTCGTGGCCGTTTCGTTTAACCATGATTAACTTGGGCATGCTTAAGGGGGACCGCACATATGAGGCGTCATAACATAACATAACATAGCAGAACATAACATAACAGAACATAACATAACATAGCGATGTCAGCGCTGAAGTGTAGGCCTGATGTGGCCGATCGCCGATTCTTTTCCTTTTCGTGCCTTGTTCACAGAAGATCTAATATCGTGTTATTTGCCCGGATCTTTTCATGACTTTTCGGAACTATTGTCGGATCTTTTCATGACTGGCGATAGTTTGAAATAGCTACTAAACTTCCACCGGGTTCGATATGGTGCTAGACATTTCAAGTTTGAACATATATTTTCCATAGCTTCGTCTAGTCTGTTCTTGAACGCGGAGTTCTGTTCTGACCGCTGAAGCGGAAGGTGTGCTGTGCTGAGCTCCCATGACGAAAGCCGGCTTCAGCCGGCTGCCACGTCATCGTTCTCAAATTTTAAGTGCCCGTGGATGCTGTACATTGCTGTCTCGCTCCGAGGCGTTGAGCCGGCGAAGGAGCTACTTGCTATAGACAAATACCTAGCAATGCCCACTGCAAAATGCAGTTCAGCTGATACGATTTGAGAAAAAANCCTAAATTTGTTGCTGAACCTAATTTTTCCTTACTAACACCGTAATTTCCTTAAACCGTCCTGTCATGGGGCCACATTGAACTAGTATTCAGAGGCTCCCATAAACTTTAAAATAAAAAAAAAAAAAAGTTCTTGAACGCGTTCATACTTGGAGCGCCAACGTGGCGTCAGTAGCATATGAAATTATTTCATGGGCTAATATGCACTCTACTATACGAACAAAGTGTGGATATGGCAGAGCAGAGGCCTTACTTTCAAAAATCACTAAGTGAACGTAAGTATATACGCTCTATTTTCTTGTCCATGATTGGTAGATTTTGCTTGAAAGGCCGTCAATGATTGGTTCATTAACATACGTTCTCCTAACTTTTTTTGGAAGTTGCCCTGGCCTCTAGCATGCGCCCTTCTTCCAGCAGTTTTTCGCTTTTTACAGCACCAATTGCAGGTTGCTGACAGTTCTGACAATATTAGTGTACTGCCTCGTTTCTAAAAAAAACTGACCAGTCTGCACTTGCTCAACTTTGCACAACTGTTGCAAATGAAATAACCACAACGTTCACTGGCGACTATTAAGTCAGCGACGTTGATCGGAACCAGTTTGAAAAATTCACAAAATTACCCTCGCTCTTTTTGTGATTTGATTTATGCATTTTGCCTAGCAGAATTAGATGCAAATTTTAATTTCAAATTAGCTTTTTCCTTAATGCCCAGCAATAGTACGATGCGATAATGAAACGCAAGTTGAAAAACTGAGAAAAACACAAATTAAAGACCATGTAGTGTTGAGTAGTGTTTAAAGTTCCGTCAAATTCCGTCACAGACTCGCAAAAGAAAACTAGCAGCACCTTACCATCTCCCCTCACCTTTGCAAAAAAAAACTAGCAGCACCTAATCATCTCCCCTCATCGTAGCTAAAGTAAACTATCATCACCTAATCATCTCCCATGTAACGCATGTTTATTTGATTATTCCATAAGCATGTTGGTTCTAAAGAATTTAGAGTTGAAGAATGTGAACGAACTTCATTCATGGATTAACGTTAATGGATCGACTCACGTGTTTGGACACATCGCCTCTGTGCACCCAGAACTGGTGGTTACAACTTATTCGAGTGCAATGCATGAATGCTTCTCATTGTTTTGTGGGTTTACTAATTTTCTTAACCTCTTCCCCTATCAAGTGATGTTGATTCTCTGAACATGTTTAGGGACACACAAAATTTTGATGGGGGCCCGAATCGGCATTAGGCGCCGCCTAGGACCTGAGGCGTACGTAAATTAGCCGCACAATGTCCGCTTCGGCTCTGGGTCTGAACGACAGCCTCTGATTAGATTGCAAGCTTGGTAGAATTAGGTTCGGTCGCCCTCGTACGTCATACTCTCAGGCGACTCGTAAGTGGGAAACGTGATTCTGACCAAAAGCTGATTTCAATCGGGTGTCAAAACAGATCCAGAATAACTCTAAGCTGAGTTTAGCGAATCTTCGGCTGAATACAAGGCGGTACCAGAATCTTGATATAGGATTCGTACTTCTGTGAAAGTTTCTGTAAGACTTGAGATTATTTGTCTTTTTAACACATTTTTCTTAACTCAGCTTCGCTTTGTTTGTTTGTTTGTTGTTAACATAGACAACGAAAATTAGCCCACTTCTGATTGCTCTATAGATCTGAAATTCGGCATGCAGGCTATTTTTGCCTAACAATTTCAGATACAATCATAAAAACTAGCAATTAGAGACTTAAATTAGCTTAATTGAGTAAAGTATATATATATAGTATATATATATAGTATGACGTGCGGGCGCTGACGCTGCGTATCATCGATACGTACGTCAAGTAATACTTAATCAAATCTTAATCGTTTTTTTTTTGTGGACTAAAAAGTAGAAAATAAAATACTTTAAAAAAAACTTAAAAAAAACACGCTTTTCTTGTGGACTAAAAAGTAGAAAATAAATTATGGCTCGCCCCAAAAAACGTGGGTCAGGCTGTACGTTCACCATCAAATTTCCAAAATTCGTGTGTTGTGTGCTTTTCGCTTTAATCATAAATCTGCCCGACACACGTTTTTTGGGGCGAGCCATAATTTATTTTCTACTTTTAGTCCACAAGAAAAACGTGTTTTTTTAAGTATTTTATTCTTCTGTGTTGACGATGTTTAGGCACCTTCTACAGTCTACACGGTATAAAGCTAGTTCTGACTGAAAGAATATGCTTCCATTCATTCTTGCATGGAATGCCAAATTGTGCGGATGTTTGCCAAGGGAATCGCTTTACACGTAAAATACATATCGCTGATAAAGCAGTTATTTTCAAGATATTCCGACCGAAAATGGGCTACCACCGAATACACATGAGTCATCGTTGTCGTACTGAAGGTGCATTTATTATGAGCGAAAAATTTTCAAGCAAAAGTTTTCTAGCAAGGTTTCAAAAGGTTTGACTCTTCAAATCATATAAGTATTTAAATAGTTTCATTTAATTCACTATAGTGATAGTGACTTTGAATGACACCATCAGCAGCGTCGCACAGAATTTTTCCGCAACTTCTGCTTCAGCGTCACACTTCCTCCATCAGATCCACATTTCCCCCATCATAACATTTCACCTATCCATGTAACGTAACACTCTCCTCCCCATCAGAGCTACACTTTCCTATTCAGGACAAGACTTTTCCCACAAGGGTAGCTCTTCCCCCATCAGAGCTTCACTTCCCCCATCATAACAACACTTCAGCCATCAGAGCAACACTTCTTCCTAAAAGGCAACACTGCCCCTCTCAAGGGCAACACTCTTCCCATCAGGGTAACACTTTCCCATCAAGGCAACAAAGGCAATGCAAGAATCTCTCATTATGTTTGGGCCATGACAAGCACCTACCATGGGTGCACGGAGGGCAGTCCTGGTTGCAGTTGACGCCATATTTATTCAGGGGACAAGGGGTTTGGCAGTCCGCCCCCTGCCATCCGCGATCGCATTGGCACTTGCCGGTCTCAGGGTGACAAGACCCTCCGTTCTTGCAGCCGCAGCTCCTGCTNTGGAAGCTGATGTTGGCGCCGAGCGGTCGCGAACCAAATAAATTCAGTTTTCGATGCATTAAGCTGGAGCCGGTTGGAACGCATCCAATCTGAAACGGCGTCCATGCAGGCAGACATCCGGTCTTGCAACGCTGCAGCATCCGCCGGCGCACAGTAGCCATAGATTTGGGTGTCGTCGGCAAACATGTGCGGATTCAAGCTGTGTGAATCAATTATGTGCAACACATCGGCAGTATATAGCAATAAAGGCATTCAGGTTACGAAATAAATAACCCATTCTATAACCTATGAAGTTCTATTTTACGTTAATATCGCTGACGTTTCACCACTGACCGTGTGCCGAGGTAACCTGGTCCACACGTGCAAACTCCTGTCGCCGGGTGACAGCTAGCACCAGGGTGCTGACAGCCACACGTTTGGGAGCAGTTGAGGCCATACCGCCCGTCTGGACAGGTGGCATCACATTGCAGGCCCTTCCAGCCAGGCTGACAGACGCACTCTCCTGTCTGGGGGTGACACCTCGTGCCGTTGGTGCAGTTACATTCCAGGGCGCACCGGTTACCGTACCTGCCTTTCGGGCACACGTCCTTGCACAGTGGCCCGTGATACCTGCAATGCCGTCACGGTACATTTTGATTAAAAATTTTGTCATTTTGTTTGCCTGTCGCAAACCAACACGCCCACCACCGTTTGGACTGACATAATCCCTCCTTCCAATAACGTTATTTTCAATAACTTTGGGTAATCACTTTATCGGCTGTAAGCCACACAAGCCAAAACATATCATTTGAATTCGACCAACCATCATCCACCAACACAGCTGGGAATGGTATGGCCAAGCATCGTCAGCGAACACATGAAATAATTTTACACCTACTAGACTAAGCGCGTATAGGAGTTTTTCATTATTCATCTTTCACACCAAGTAACCGCTTGTCCCAAAATAAGAATTACTGGTAGAGCATCGATGATTATATTATCGGTGGCTATAGATGGAAATTGTAGGTGGTGCACCGCTGGCGCATACATGCGTCATCGATGCGCTTTGTTCTTTTTGTTCTAGTGTGCCATGTTGTACATTGGTCATAGTAGTATTTTAGGTATGACGCGGCTTGCTTGGTGTTGGAACCTAGCATGCGTTTTAGGTAAGGACCAGAATCTTTTTAACAACCCATGCACGAGCGCATACCTACCGAACAGATCAACATTTCTGGTAAAATTAAGAGATTTCAGTTATGTTAACTGATAGATTTTTAACTTAAACTGTGTTCGGTTTTTCTTTTCCTGTACTAGAGATATTTGTTAACGTAGGACGTGAAATGAAATTCCATAATTTAAATCAAATGTACTGTGTTGTATAAAAATACAATTTAATGTCCATGTCGTGTTGAGTAGTGCTTCAAGTTCCGTCAAATTTCGTCACAGACTCGCAAAAGAAAACTAGCAGCACCTCACCATCTCCTCTCACCTTTGCAAAAAAACTAGCAGCACATAATCATCTCCCCTCACCTTGGAAAAAAAAACTAGCAGCACCTAATCATCTCCCCTCGTCGTAGCGCAAGTAAACTATCATCACCAGATAATTCCACTTCACCTTTGCAAAAAAACTGTTTTCACCTCGTCATGTCCCCTCATCTGGGCAAAAAAACTAGCAGCACGTCATCATCTCTCCACCTCGAAGCGAACGTAAGCCATCAGCACCCAATCCTTCTCCCTCACCGGTCTCCGGCTTGCACTCGCCCCCGTTGTGGCACCGGCAGGCGTTGGCGCACTCATAGCCCCAGCGGCCCTCGGGGCAGGAGCGGTCGCAGCGAGGTCCCCTCCACCCGCTGGCGCACACGCACGCCCCCGTCCTGTGGTCGCACGTACCGTTGCCTGATGCCAACACGCACGTGGAAAAAGGTTATAATTCATAGGATTATAAAGAGATTGTGTGTATCATGTAGGACGCTTCAGCGCACGCACTGTCCTGAATTGGGTGAAAAAGTAACAGAAATAATTGAAAAGCGTAAAGCGATCTGACAGCAGCTGTAGCCATTACCAAAAAGTGTCAACTTACCGAAAACTTTTATACCACTACCAAAATGCCCACAACCATGACAAAAAACCGATCTAGCATTCCTGATAACACCTCTAACGTTTCCAAAAACCACTTTATCATTATCGAAAACCCCTCTAGCATTGAACAAAAACCCCTTTACTATTGCCGGAAGCCCCACTACCATTACTAAAAACCTTTCTATCGATTCCGTAAACTCTTTCCCATTAATTATCGGAAAAAATCTACTAAAAACCCGTTTAACCTTACCGAAGACTCCTATCGTTAACGGAAACACCTCCGCCATCCCAAAACTACTTATACGAGTTGTAACGCATGTTTATTTGATTAATCCATAAGCATGTTGGTGCTAAAGAAATTAGAGTTGATGAATGTGAACGAACTTCATTCATGGATTAACGTCAATGGATCGACTCACGTGTTTGGACACATCGCGAAAAATTTTCAAGCAAAAGTTTTCTAGCAAGGTTTCAAAAGGTTTGACTCTTCAAATCACTCAAGTATTTCAATAGTTTAATTTAATTTATTTGATACATAGACCACATATGAGGTTGTAGATGCGGTTCATTGTGGTGATATTGACTTTGAATGACACCATCATGCAGCAGCGTCGCACAGCATTTTTCCGCAACTTCTGCTTCAGTGTCACACTTCCTCATCAGATCAACATTTCTGGTAAAATTAAGAGATTTCAGTTATGTTAACTGATAGATTTTTAACTTAAACTGTGTTCGGTTTTTCTTTTCCTGTACTAGAGATATTTGTTAACGTAGGACGTGAAATGAAATTCCATAATTTAAATCAAATGTACTGTGTTGTATAAAAATACAATTTAATGACCATGTCGTGTTGAGTAGTGCTTCAAGTTCCGTCAAATTTCGTCACAGACTCGCAAAAGAAAACTAGCAGCACCTCACCATCTCCTCTCACCTTTGCAAAAAAACTAGCAGCACATAATCATCTCCCCTCACCTTGGAAAAAAAAAACTAGCAGCACCTAATCATCTCCCCTCGTCGTAGCGCAAGTAAACTATCATCACCAGATAATTCCACTTCACCTTTGCAAAAAAACTGTTTTCACCTCGTCATGTCCCCTCATCCTNGACAGATGCAAGAATCTCTCATTATGTTTGGGCCATGACAAGCACCTACCATGGGTGCACGGAGGGCAGTCCTGGTTGCAGTTGACGCCATATTTATTCAGGGGACAAGGGGTTTGGCAGTCCGCCCCCTGCCATCCGCGACCGCATTGACACTTGCCGGTCTCAGGGTGACAAGACCCTCCGTTCTTGCAGCCGCAGCTCCTGCTGCAGTTTCCGCCGTAGAGACCACGAAAGCAGCGACTCTCGCAATTCACGCCTGCAGGCAAGTAAGCCAGACAAAAGGAAATTAGTTTCAATAAATTAATGCACAGCAGGGAGTTGCAAGTTGGGGTAACTTGAACGATGGAACAACTAAACTAGCTAATCTAGACCTCGTTCCTCATAATTTATCTTACATTGAATATTTAAAGCGTTTGTGGATGGCATTTATACCCGCCTGTCCTATATACTCACCCCGGAAGCCTGGTTTGCAGTAGCACGCCCCTGTCTCTGGATGGCAGCCATCGGTGTTCGGCCACACGCAGGAACAGGGGTACCTGCATGCCGTACCATGCATGCCGTGCACACAGGTCTCCTCACATCTACGATTAAAGTGGCTTAGGTGACACATGAAAGTACTTTTAACCTGCGAGTTATTCATCAAGCAAGCATAAGTCAAATGCACGTTGCCATATCAGAGATTGCGTGCACGCAATCTCTGAAATGGCGTTCACGAACTTGGATGGCGTGATCGATGGAATGCTTCTTGTATAAAGTTGCAGTAGGAAAGTTGAGCGATCGAACAATATTATTATTATTATTCCACGAAGAGATTGTCGTGGCGTCTCGTTCAGATCGAACTTCGAGGGTACGTTACAAGCGGCTAAAAAACACAAGATGACAAAAACAGATAACATCTATGCTAAAACAGAGGACATATGCCAAGACTGATGACGTCTATACTAGAACAAATAACATCTATGCTAAACCAGTAATATCCATGATAAATTAGATAACGGCTAGGCCTAAGATTCAAAGGCTCTACGGAAAAGTTCTGTTTTTAGAGACATCTTCGGGGGGGATAGAAACAAATGTACTGAATTTTTCTTGGCATTGTGTAAAGATCAAGTTAAGTAAAGCATTTCTAGTGGGCTTTAGGGTAATATTCACATTCGGTGTCATTGGCTGAACTCGTTAGCCTGTCACCGGTCGCTCTAACTCAGGCCGCCAGGGCCATAGGTCAGTGTCTTAACGTCTACTCGTAATAGGAAATCTTCATTTGCCATACCTGTAATCATTATGTTATGTAGCAGCAGAAAGGCGTTCAACTGCTATGCTAATTTATCTTTAATCCATTGCTGTTCCGGTTGGGGAGAATTCTGAGCCTACCACAGCATTTTGTCATCGGTACAAGAAGTATTAAGTTGTCAAATCTTGACATTCCTGTGTGATTCTACCATCAGTCGTTTGTGATTTTACCGTCAGTCATCTGTGATTCTACCGTCAGTTCCTTGTGCCTTAACTGTCAGCTGTCTGCACTCCTCCGAAGGACACTGCCTTGTTTCTACCGAGATTTCACCCAGATTTAGAAGCTTAAGTTTATTATCTGTTACTGTATGATTGCCTCTTAATTTGCTATCAATTAAACTGTTTTTAGAACCCGTTCATCATTAACCATTGATTCGACTGATACCGGTCAGCTTTCCGAAAACCCGACACATAGACATTAAGGATATGCCCCTTAAATGAGCGTCATTTGTTTGTGTTACCCTCTAAGTAAAAATAACCTCATCTAAGATTCGTGATTTACTATTCCAAATTCTCCCGCAACCATTAGGTCTGTATACAGTTTGCTGAAATACATCGATATATTGCACATTGAAGATATACAGGGAAGTGACTCGCAATGATACCCGTGGTATCAGCTGGGACCTGATCTCACCTCTCCGTCCCTGCAGCCTCACATGAGCACGACTGGTTACAGCTAGGACCGAACTTATGGTCAGGGCAGACAGACTCAGAGCAGTCATCTCCCAGCCACCCCTCTGTGCAGGTGCAGCGGCCGGATATTGGGGAGCAGGTGCCTCCGTTCTTGCATTTACAAGCTTCGGTGCAGTTCACTCCGTACGTTCCCAATGGACATTCGTTCTCACACTGCACAAGACACGGAAGTTTCTAATGTTATTGCATTGATCGCTTTGTATTGTAATTCGTTCAAGTAATCACTAAACTTCGTTTGAGGAAAGTTCGAGCTTGTGATTGTCAAGTGCTTGCATTTTTATGTATGCATTTGACATTGTATCTTTATTATTAGTAATACTAACCGTAATCAAGAATTAACCTGCTGGTCTAGCTTCACTTATGGCCACAAGTGCCGAGGAAAAAGGGACGCATATACTAAGATAATCATATGCAACAGTTAAGTGGTACAGATGACTGAGATGAGATCGTCAGGGTTGGCAATATATTCACAACACGGTAGTAAGTTCCAGCTAGGGCAGTTCTACTGGGATAGTAGCTTTGACTGAGCTCAAACGGAGCTAGCAAACTTCTCCCACTGAATGACTGCTTTTGAAACTTTGCCGAGAAAACACGTCAAAGGGCGCTACTTAGATCTCTCAAAGAGATTTAAAAAATTCTCTAGGAAGTCTAGATATAATCTCACCTGCCATGATATTAATTTTTTCTTCCTTTCAAGAGACGCCATTCATATTTCTTGATATAGGGAGCGAAACAATGAAACAAGAATAGGATTCTGCTTCTGAAGCCTACAGCTGTCAAAATTAAAGAAGGAAATCCAACTTCCTTACCCTGTCCCCAAGGAAGCCAGCAAGGCACTTGCATTTGCCGGTCACGCGGTCACACGTGCCGCCGTTGTCACAGTTGCAGACCTGTGAACAGTTGGCTCCCCACCACCCAACGGGACATGGGCTGGTGCACAAGTCATCCTGAAACACAAGTGCTAGTTGAAGCTGTTGCGAGGTTAAGAGTCCCCGCTGGACATTGAGTGTCACATGAGGACCCTCGCCAGCCGGGAGAGCAGTGGCAGGCCCCTGAGACGAAGTCACACATTTCGTTCTTGCTGCAGCTGCACTGGTAGATGCAGCCCTGAGAGTGAGGGGTTCAACGCTTACAGAGTTTGGTTAAAAATAATGCCAGTTTTATCGAGAACTTCTTTTGAATTTAATCTCTCAAGCTTTCTGATAAGAGGTAAAGTAATAAGGTCAACAAGTCTTAAAATTCGTCCAAATGGAAGGTTAGATAAATCCTGCGACGCGTTTCGCTCATCACTGAGCATCTTCAGGCAACGAGGTCGAGCAGCTGAGTAGACGAGTTGCTTACGGGTTGGCTGCGAAGAGAAGACTAATTAAAGTAGTGAACGAAGCTACGAGTAAGGTTCTTATACAGTCCGTTGTACACTTATACAGTCCGTCTAGTCCGTCTTATACAGTCCGTCTAGTTATGAAATTTCAGAGTTCGTTCGGATCCAGTCGTTGGTTGTTTAGGTATGGCTTTTTCCGTTGAATTAGGATTGCATCCATTATTTGTAGTCTGTTGAAGTCTGGTTCGTGACGAAGAATTTTTGTATTTTGTACCAGTTCTTCCCGGGTTAATTTGGTGTTGTGGTTGTCCATAGCGTGCGTTTTTAGTCCTCCAGAAACTAAATGCATTGTGAGCCGTCTTGATAGGGTTGTAGTAGTCATGCCAATTTACGAATTGTTGCGGGGCTCGCACTCCCCGCGGTTACACGTGTATTCGTATATGACATTTGTTTGTTACAGGGCTGGTGGTTTTGGGGATGTGTTGTTCTTTGTGATTAAACTGGTTACGGTAGGGCTTTTGTAGTAGATTATCAGCTGTAATCGGTGGTTGTCGTTTGTGCATTCCACGTTGTTTCGAATCATATGCTTGGGATTCCTTCGTCAGTTTTGTAAGCAGATGAATATTGATTCTGATAGTAGACCTTGTGGACTAGATGCTCGGGGTTTCTTGCATCGCTCGTTGGGTTTCCTGTTTTTTGGGTGATTGTTGCGAGGTAGTGGCTCAAAATATTGTCAAAGAGTGAATTAGAGTAACCGTTGTTGATGAAGGCTTGTATTAGTTTCAAGATGCTGTCATGAAATAACTGCCAAGTATGTGATATTTTATAGGTGTGGTGGATTAATGCCTTGATGGTGCTGTCTTTATATCGTTGGGGGCATTCACTGCGCGTTGAGGTATATTCCGTTATTGGTGGGCTCCTGGTATACTGAAGTTATCAAGTTATCAGTGGCTTCGATGTTGACATCCACAAACCAAGTCGATTGTTGGGATTACCGGAACGTTTGTAAATAGTGATTCTACATCCAATGAAGCAAGGATACCGTGTCGATTAGTTGCTCGGATAATTTGCAAAAAGTTATCTGTAGAACTGATCTGGTATTTACACTGCATGTAAGGCACTATCATCCGATTCAATTGTTTAGCGATTCCATACACTGGGGCAGGGACTTGAGATATTATTGGCCATAGTGGGTTCTGGGTTTCTTGTTTTATGAGTCTTGACTCTTGACTGTACCGTAGATGTAGCCAGGCTTATATTCTCCTATAATGGGCTGGAGAACTTTATGAGGTTTGCCATGTTTAGCTGCTCCGATCAGTTTGTTAATTCTGGTTTTCAACGCAGCTATTGGGTTGCGGGTGATTCGGGTGAACATTTAGTTTCTGGAGGGCCAAAAACGCACGCTATGGACAACCACAACACCAAATTAACCCGGGAAGAACTAGTACAAAATACAAAAATCCTTCGTCACGAACCAGACTTCAACAGACTACAAATAATGGAAGCAATTCTAATTCAACGGAAAAAGCCATACCTAAACAACCAACGACTGGATCCGAACGCATTCTGAAACTTTCTAACTAGAACAAGTGTACAACGGACTGTATAAGAACCTTACTCGTAGCTTCGTTTACTACTTTAATTAGTCTCCTCTCTGCAGCCAACCCGCAAGCAACTCGTCTACTCAGCTGCTCGACCTCGTTGCCTGAAAATACTCAGTGATGAGCGAAACGATAGCGGAGGCTCTCATCATCAAAGACGAGTCTCCTATCAATTTGCAAAACGCCGGATTCGTCAGTACGTTGAAATTATTCTCGGATTAATTTATTAAAATCACTTGTTTGCTTGAATCGCAAGTTAACCAGGAATTTAAAAGCAAAGAAAATACCACAAAAATTCACCATATCTTTATAAGAACAAAGAAGGTTGTAGACTTCTTCACGTTGTAGATTACATTAGATTTATTGGAGTAACAACTGCGATATTGACCTGCCGTTTCTCCTACCACCAGAGACAAGCTCACAACCATAGCAGGTCTCAAAGCATTATCAAGAAGCAAGTTCATCTCAAAATCGTCGATGAATTCAACAGGCTTCGTGACACCCTTGACGACAAAGTCAAATTCCAAACTAAGAGCAACAAAGGTCCCTGCAAAAACGCGGGAGTTATCCGAGAGGCCAGTTTTGTTCTCTAAATAAATCCCGAACGTAAACTTTAATGTATTGCTGCTGGATAATTATAAAACCAGTTCTTTTTTCAAGTATAATGATACACTCCATGTTCCTATGCGATCGTCCCTAGTTTATCAATATAATTGAGCGCAGTGCGCATCCGCGTATGTCGATATGACATCTCGCAACTTTTTTACAGCATAGAAGCAAGAGTTATAGAATGGGAAACCTACTCGCGCATCCCCCTCATTCAACCGTACGCGTTTACGCCAAGCAGTGAAGAGAAGTAACTTGTTCGAGATCTCGGAGTGTGGATGTGGACTGAAGCCACGTTCGATGACCACATCGAGGAAAAAGTTGCGCGAGGGAGACAAAGGATGGGGTGGATCTGGCTGACATTTCGAACGAGAGAAGCAGCGCCAATGATTACACTCTTCAGAGCCCTTGTGCTCCCCAATCTTGAATATTGATGTCAGCTTTGGGCGCCGCTCAAGGCGGGTGCGGTGCGGTAACCGGAGGCAGTGCAGGGGACCTTCGATCGAGTACAGGATCAGCGGAATGAGGGAGCTGAACCTGAACTACTGGGAATGGCTGAAACACCTGGGACTGTACACACTGGATAGGAGAAGACAGAGGTATTTCATACTGCACACTTGGAAGATGATAACTGGACTGGCTCCCAACTTTTAATGTGAGACCTCCAAAATTGTGTCGTATTAACACGAATAGAGTAGGAGATTATGCAGGATTCCCCCATTCAATAACCGTGCCACGGCCAAAGTACAGACTCTTCGTGAAGGATCACTGTCCGTGGTAGGACCAAGGCTGTTTAACGCTTTACCAAAGGCGCTGAGAGGAGGGGAGTTTACCCTTGCGACTTTCAAGAGACAATTGGATAAGTTTCTGAAGAAGATCCCGGATTATCCAGTTATTGGATAATCCGGGCGGAACGCGTCCAACGTTACATTCGGGACCCGAGGGACGCAAAAAATTTATATACAATGGATGCGAATTCTATATTAAATGGGTTCAAAATGGATAAAAAAAACTGCAGAGATTGAAAAGACTAACACAGGCAAATGCTTAGTCTTTTAACAACGACCAGGATCTCACCCAACCATATTTGCCCTGAGGGCAAGGGTCCTGGCAGAACTGGCCTATCCAGCCGGCGGGGCAGGAACAGACGCCACTGTTGCGCTCGCACGTCCCCCCATGGAGGCAGGAGCAGTCTTTATCGCACCCGGAACCCCATTTACCATTGGAGCACGCTGTGAGTGAACCAGATATACGTTAAGAAGTATAATAACTGCAAAAATTTATGTATATTCATGGTTTGATGGATAAAATATTAGGAAAGATACATAGAGAACATGATTAGGAAGAACCTAGGCTTATTAGATAATTGCAACTGTAGGAAGAGACAATGACTTCCTGACCAAAGGCGTCGGGAAGAAAAGAAGCGAGCAATGATGGTAGAATTTCAACAAGCGACGTAAATGCAGAGGGAATGTCGCAGAGAGGGAATAGCACAAAGCGCTTCACCAAGATGGAAAATATATGTTTAGGAATTAAGTTAGTGAATAATTAAGTTAGAATAGTTAAGCTAGTGAATGAATAAAGACCGTGCACCCTACCCAGGAGAAAAATTGCCGCCAACGTCAGCGATCATTGGAGCCATCATTTGCCAAACTTGTGCAATTGAACGCCTGCCTGGTACTGCATGCAGCACTAAAGGCATGTGCAGCCAAGCCTCAAATATTTCTCTGCCGAGCTTTTTAGGCTCACCCGAGCTGACCGGCAAACGGCGCTGGCCTGTGCCACCTAACACCTACAGCAGGCAGTCATGCCGTCACTGAGAACGTCACATTGCCATTATGCCGACGCTGTTGTAGTCGAGACACAGCCCGGCTGTGGCACCGATTTAACTAGAACGCATGGCCCTAATAACGACTACGTCCCGCCTCTACCAGCAACTCTGTTTACGTCCCGCCTCTACCAGCAACTCTGTTTACGTTTCGCCTCTACCAGCAACTCTGTTTACGTTTCGCCTCTACCAGCAACTCTGTTTACGTTTCGCCTCTACCAGCAACTCTGTTTACTCTGGCATATAATTTATTCATTTTAATTTATTAAATTTATACTAAATTGAGTCCATCATTTAGAATAACCCTATATATTTGCGTTGCAGTGTGCGTGTGTGTTTAATTCTGGCAACGTAAATATATTGGGGCTGTTTGGAGACGAGTTATATGAGTTTTTCTCCAATTACGATACTTTAGTTACGAAGTTATTAAATCAAGCTTGTTAAAGACCTTGCTGCTGAGATCGACCGAGCTAGCCAGACAGACACCAACCTGCTTGACCTTTCCAAAGCATTCGAAAAAGTGCCCCTCCAGCGACTACTACCGAAGCTTGACTTCTGTGGCATTTGATGGAGGATCAAGTAATGGCTCGCC